TTTATTACAATGTTTTTATGACAATACCTTTATAAAGTAGAAACACAGCAAACTTTTTCATCAAAGTACCACTAGAGTCGAGTCCACAAGAACAAAACAAATATTGTGTCCGTGAGAGAAAAAATTGTATGTTATTTTATTTATTCCAATATATATCTTTAAGTGTGTAATATAAAATGTATATTTTCTTTGATTAATTGTGTGAAAACGTATAATTTTTTCTCAAGATACACGAACGATAAACAACAACAAAAACCATAGTGTTCTACCTCAAAGCATTTTTTTCAATTTGTAAATAAAGCACACGTTGAATCAACAAAATTAAGAATTGTCCTGTAATACTCGGCAATTTTTCGTTTTGTTGAATAATTAGTAATTTAGTAAGTTAGTAAGAGTAATTTTTTTCTACACGTTGGTCACGAGACATACCACTGTAAAGGAAACAAAATAAAAACTATCATTTTGAATGATCATACAAATTGTTATGTCTATCGATTCTACCAATGAAAAACTGCGATCTTGTAAGAAATAATTGCGCTAAAAAAATTGTACATTTGTTTTTTCAATCTCATTCTTGTGGCTTATACGATCAAGTAAGAAAAAAAATTCATTTCTAAATAATTTAATTAGCTCAATTAATAATTATAATAATAACGAGGATTGGAATAAAAATTATACTGACCATTTATTTTATGGAAAAAAAAAATTGATTGCTCGGTTCGAAACTTTATGGTTCCTGAAACGCGACGAAAAACATCGATTATAAATACAAAATATAATAAAGAAGCCTATCCTATTGGAAAAAAATTAAAATTATTTCGAAATAATAAAAAAAAAATAGGCAGCTTAATGTAGATTTAATAATCATTCAGCATTCGCGTGAAATTATTCGTAACACCCTAAAGGCCAACGTCAAAATGCACTTACGGAATTTCGGTATTTATTACCCAGGCGATGCAAAAAATTTACAGAGCGATTTTTATTAACTGTATGAATTTAGTCTGGTAATAAATGGTCTTTTATTTGTTTGCGATTTCACTTTTATTTTTTTATAATTGTAAAATGAGCGAGCGCTACGTGAGAGGGGAAAAAAAAAGTTGTAATAAAAGAAAAACGCAATTTTGTGTGTATCATTACTTCATACCTGTACTCAAACCTAAAAAATGTGCTGAAAAAAAAATGGCATTTTAATTTTAAGGTTTTTCCCCCTTGCTCCCTTTTCCGCAATGCATCCTATAACGAAGTGACCCCCAGGGTATAATAAAGTCGCTGGTGTACGGTGATTCATGCGCCTTTAAACTCGTTTAATGCAGTCACATGTACACACGCACAACAATAACAATACACAAAAAACGCCATTGCAATGCTTTTAAGGCCATTCAGATTTAAGCTGCGGGGCCATGTAAGTAACGAAGATAACTTATATACCATTGTCGCGATGATGATTACAAAAGCGTCCACATTTTCGAAACGTGATTTTATTTGTAATTTTTTTTTTATTTTTGTCGTAATCCATATCCATATATACAATTGGCAATTCATTTGATACACACTTGCTTGCAGTGGTTCAAAATAAACGTCAACATCAAGACCGATTTCTGAAAACCTTTTTTGAATTCAGTAAACAAAAAAAAAAAAAAAAACAAAAAAATTATGTGCTTGCGATTTTCCTACAATAGTTTGGTCACAATAAGGAACATTGGATAAAACGATCCAGAATTATATTATTCGTATCATACATTCTGGCTATACGTATACACATCGATTTTAGCGAATAAACATGCGCGCGTCCTCAAGCGACATCAACCACTCCCACTGCCGTATACGTATCATGCAATAAATATATTGCAAATCAATCACTTTTGACGGCATCGTTTAAGCCGCCCATTGCTGTATCCCATTTGTGAAATGGAAAAAAAAATGCCAATTGAAGGATGACAGCCATCTCGCGAACGAGCGCAGCTACGAGTATTTTAATTGTCTCGAGAAAAGAAATGGGCATACCCACGGGGCTACAACCAGTTTGATACATCATACGCGAGCACATATATTATATATATGTATACTGATTGCTGGACGTAAATCACCCGTGAAGCTAATGAAGGCGCGACGATCGAAATTGAGTATTTTTGTCGAAGGTTCCAATTTATTTGGAATCAAGGCACGTGTAATTTATCAAACTTGAGTAATTAATGTGTACTCCTACTAAAGTATACTTAAGAAAAACCTTGAGCCCTATTTCTCCCTTGGTTCACACTTTACGCGCATGTATAGCCATCAAGCGATTTATCGTCAAAGTCGATCGTGGACTTGCCGATGCACCCGTCAAAGTACTTGAATCCAATTGCGTTGTCGCTCGGTTGCGCATATAGGCAAAGTAAAAGCAGTGGCTGAACGTCTCGTCCCTCGGGTCGTCGCG